CTTGCTATAATTTTCAACTCGTTCACATTACAAATGACCGTTTCGGATGAGCTGACAATAAATCTGTTATCAAATAACAACTGTCGTTTGAAATTTTGGCGGGAAGGTCAAACGCGGTAAACATGGAAGCTGTGCATGTTTTGATGCTACTGTACTCGATGATTTTACTTCTTTCAAGAAAGCGACTTCGTAAATTGAGGCTAAAAATGATGAGCAAWCAAAGAAAGCGAAGGATTATGTTCCTTCATTTGGCCTTACTCAGTAAAAGAAAGCGAAACAGAAGTGATAGGCGAGCATGGTCATGGAATCGTTGTCAGTATTTCTTTGATGAGCTTTTGAGAGGCACACTACCAGACGATATGTGGAAAGAACACTTACGAGTAAATAAGGCAACGTTTCAACGCATCTGTGATATTGTTAGTCCTCAACTTTCCCGTCGAGACACCCTGTTACGCCGCGCCATTCCTATTCAAAAGCGARTAGCAATTGCACTAACAAGACTAGCTACTGGGAACTCGTACATCTCATCTGGTCTYAACTATGGGCTACCTAAGTCAACGTCTAATACAATAACCCGACAATTCTGTAAAATACTTGTCGACAAAGCTGCTGAATTCATAAAATTTCCCTCAAAWGAAAGCGAAACTCGCAAGGAAATTGAAGGTTTTGAGAGCATTGGTTCATTTCCTCAAGTTGTAGGTGCAATCGACGGTACGCATATTGAAATTAAACCACCAACACTTAATAGAAAAGATTATTACTGCCGTAAAGGGTATCCTAGCATGGTTTTACAAGGTGTCGTAAACAGCGAAGAAAAATTTATCCATGTAAGCACCGGTTATCCTGGCAGTATTCACGACTCTCGAATGCTTCGTATGAGCTCTCTTTATCGTGATATTGAGGACGAAAATGTTCTTTGTTATCCTACCAAACGTATCAACGGAGAAGATGTGAAGCCATTATTGTTGGGAGACCCTGCTTATAAGCTAACTACATGGCTAATGAAACCTTACCCCCAGTCAAGAAACCTCAGTAACAGTCAAAAAACATTCAACTACGAATTAAGTTCCTTGCGTGTAATTGTAGAGCAAGCTTTTGGAAAATTGAAAGGTAGATGGCGATRTMTTGCAGACTGTTTAAATGAAGACCTAAAACATATCCCTACTACTATAATTGCATGTTGCGTTCTACATAATATCTGTACAGAAATGGGGGATGATACACCAATAGTAAATGTACCAAATAATGTTCCCGCTATTCCTCATACTGGTCATGATATTAATGCTGATGGAAAAAGGTTAAGAGAACTGATAAAAGACTATCTATAACAAAACGAGACTTAACATAATGACAATAGTTCTGTTTATTTAATATCTAAATACTCGCATTGAATTCATGTCATAAATAGAATAGAAAAAAAAAACTAATCGATATATTGCATGATTGTTTTTAACTTACACTATAATATATTTCTCTTCACAAGTACAAATATCACTAGTAAACGCAGAGGACTCATTTATTTTTAGAAGTACAAATATATTTATGTATATAAATATACACAATTGTTATCTTTTTTATTGTTTGTAAACTGATAATTGATTGTCATAATAATATCAATTTCAYACGTGATCGTTTTGAAAAGCTTGAATTGAACAGTAACAATGAATGATATTAAAATGATAGATGTGCTGTTGTTTAAAATGATGTACTAAATAAGAATAATAGTCTTTCGCAATACATTTTTCAGAAAACTTGT